GTATCCATTAAGGTGCTTATTACTCAGTGGCAGTAATTAATTTATTCACGTAAACATTCACCCTAGCCTTTGATGCATACCAGGCACTAAGTGATTACTGGAGGTTTAAAAATAAGGACTTATTACTCTTCTCAAGGAACTCATGATTAACAGAGACAGATAGTAAACAAATTGTGACCCAGTGTGAGTGAGAGAAAGGAGGAATGCAAATGATAGAGATTTATAAAAGAAAATAACTACAATTTTTCCACAGTACAGTGGTGACTCTTGGAGAAGCTGGGTTGTCAGAGTTTAAGCTGTTAGGACAAGAAATGTGATTAATAAGAGTTGATTCAGAGCATTAGATTATAAAATAGAGAAGGCACAACAGCAGAAGTTTTTCTGGAAGGTGACCATCCTGAGAATCTAAGTGAAAGAATCACATTCCATCTGTTATAGAACAAAGATTTATTCCCTTGGCATTACCTGGAAACATACTGGGGATCACCTTCATATTACTGGAATTGGCCATAGCTTAAAGACCACCATTAAACTTCAAAAAGCTCATCCCAGCACACACAGAAATTATTCTAATTTTTAATCAATGAGTTAGGTCTAGATTTTGGTAATATTAGCTTAAATTCATGAAGTTCTAGCAGTAAATAACCACTGAATATGCTGATAGCAGAGCTCTATAGCAGAGTTCTTTGAAACTAAGCTAGCTCAGTTTTCAGCTCCACCTATGCTTCTCCTACCCTTCAGCTTCTCAGGCTATATTTTTCTTCATAGTAAATATAGAGATAGGGTTTTGTCTTTAATATTTCTTAATAGTTTAAAGGTTATCATTTCCTCACCTTCTTAAATGTTTTTAATTTTTACTTTCAATGTATATAATTTAAATGAATTTCTTAAATGACTGACTTCTATAACTCCTTTCAGTCTCTGTCCCTTCATAAGTAATAGCATCTTATGTTGCCACTTTTGAAAGGCTTAATTTTTAAGTGCATAATATTGAACTGATAATTATTTTCTTTTTAGCAATTAATCTTTTAATAAGTAAATGAAGGTAATTCAGGCTTTTTGACTTTCAGATTACCTTTCCAGAGTGGCTTTCACATATATTTATTGATAAATTTGTACTCTAGTAGTGATTTTGAAGCAAAATGAAATATAAGTATTAATGAAAGATGTTTATGTAAATTGGAAATTAATTTTAAAAGTTGGATTTCAGGGGCTGGGGATTTAGATCAGTGGTTCCGCTGCCTGCCTCGCAAGGACCCGAGTTCAATCCCTGGTACCTAAATAAATAAATAAAGTTGGATTTCAGTAAGCAAGATGGTATTTAAAATAAAGTCTATCGGCTGGTAAATATGGATGTACTTGTATTAACCCAGTCTTTGCAGTATAAGGATTATATACCTAATCACAACTTTATGCCAGTGTGCTCCAGGGAAGCAGCTATATTTTAAAGGCCCAGAATATTAACATGGTATAAGATCACTGATATTTGTATCAGTCCAACTGACAAGAGGGTATCTGGTTTGATATAATTTTCCACTTTTTTATTGGTGGTTGTTTTTGAGTGTTCATAATAGTAATGGTAGAGGGTTTAGATTTTTTTAACCTTGGCAGAGTTAAAAAAAAACAAAGGTAAATCTCTTAAAGATCTGAGTTTCTTCTGACATTTTTTTAGTCTGCTGACCTGTATCTGCCCCTTAGAGATTCACCACAAAGTCTGTCACTGGCTCCATGAATTCTTTGATTTGTGAAAGATAGAAATCATATATGGGCAATAGCAATTAATAGAGAGAAAATTTATTAGCATCACACAGAATATAGTAGCAAGCTGCCCCATAGACAAAACACCCCAACACCAAATAGTAAAGGAAACTATTCCACAGAAAGAGCAGCCCCATGCTTTAGGTACAGTGAGGTTATATGTTTTCTATAAAAGCATTAACACTGTGTAAGGAGTGTAGCAATCACCTGATGTATATGCATGACCATGCAGCAGTCTTGAAGCACAGGTACCTGGTTTTACACTTACCCTATTTCTTGCCTAGTATCATGTAGTCCTCCTCTGGTATTTCTTTTAGTGTGTAAATGAGGGTCTCAGTTACCCTCGGTGAGTTCTCATGAAAAAAAATTGACTTATACTAGCTCAGAGCCTTCAGTCAGGTTGGAAACCTTTCTGTTTTTACCTCCAACAATGGAGTGGGGTGAGATTGGGTGTACCAGCTGTTTAGCTCCAGAGAAGTATGTTTTCTTCATTAGCCACCAGCTGTCACACCCTACTCACCAGTCGTAACTAAGCCTCCTGCCTCAGAACTTCATGGACTACTCTATATCAGCTTCCTATACACTGTGAACTTTAACTTTTTTTATTCCAGTGTCGGGGATTGAACTCAGGACCTTGCGCTTTCGAGGCAGGTGTGGTTCCACTCAGCTAAATCCCCAGCCCTGTGAACGTTATCTTAATCAGAACTCTATCACAGTAAAAGTTCTTCATCTTGTACCATTAGATCATTGACTATGAAAATAGTCTGTTGATAAAGTGTAGAAAAATAAGCAGGTAGACTGGGGAGTTTTGGAAGTAGTAAGGCATATGTAGGCAGAGCATGATTAAACCAAGATTATATATTTTCATTTGTTCCTAATGCAATTTTAATTTTCCATGGCACTAATTCATTTATATATAATAGTGAATGAAGATTAGCTCATTAGTTGATATTAAATATTCATCTTGGAAGCTACAAAGGGTTAAATGAATATAAATTACAGAGTTTTGTAAATACATTTTGAGGTTTTATTTGGCGATTTCTAATGAGAGGTAGAATTCATACAGTTTTAATGAAAAACTTTGTTTCTGTGTAGTGAGATTTCTTCTCATACCCTTACTCCTGTGATTAGAGGATGCAGATTTTTCTACAGTTCTGCTTCTTGTTTTGTCTTGTTTCAATATAGAGTGTATTAGAGGCAAAAAAATCCCAGGTCATTACTGTAAACTTTGCTTGAGCAAAGGTAGTGGCATAAGTAATGAGTACTTGAGCAAAGGTAGTGTCAGTGGGTGGATGTGAGATATTAAAGAGGAAACCGCAAGCTTTTTAAATTAATTGTTCTCAGAAGTAAAGGAGAAGTTAGCATTAGTTCACACAAGGTGCATCAGATTCCCGGTTGCAGTAGTTGAGCAGGTCTGGTATGCTGTGGAAATGGATAGATTGTGCTTAAGGAAGGAAAGTTTGATTAGAAAAACAGGAACTTCAGTAGGAATAATGGCAGCATCAGGTAGAGGCAGAAGTCCTAGGTCAAGTGCCTATTAAGTCATAGCAAATATAGATACTATAAACAATTCTTCAGAATGTTAGTCTGAGACATGGCTTTAGATTATAGTACAAAAACAATGGGTGCTCCTGGTTAGTGGTCACCCGTGAAATCCGCTGAAGCTAAATCATGGTTCATTGGGGTCAATCATAGTCCCAAGGAAATTTCCTACCAAGGAAAATGCAAATTGTGGTTTTTCTGTCCCGAGAGGAAGAACCTCCTGGAGTATATGTGTATAAGGGAATATATGTATGGTCCTTGGGACTAGTCAGGGAGATTATTGTCTATAAATGTCATTGTCTTCTTCAATTTCTCATGTCTTGCCCATGACAGAGCCAAAACAATTCCACAATACCTGCTTAAACAATTTTTATTAAAATACTGCCGAGCCACCTTGTCTTTGGCATTTAAATGACTCTAAACTCTTTAGAAGCAAATTGATAATATATACAAAAAGATTCTGTTTGACCATTCAATTCTACTCTTTGGAATTAATCTCAAAGAACAATTTGAGAATATTTCTGAATATTTTCAAGCCTAGTTATTATGTCATTGTTTATAATAGTAAAAGACTATCAATTATGTGAACCACATTGATTGCTTATTGTATTATGTTACAGATTTTTACTAAAGAATCTTATTCAGTTTCTTATAGTTTTCTAGATAGTAAAATAGGAAAATGGGCCATGATATATTAATAAGCATAAAAGATTATATTACTGAATAATGTGAAAAGTATAATCTTTGTATTTTGACAAAAACAAACATGTAGTTTTAAAGTCGGTCTTACAGCTGTATACATTAACTACTAGAATATTTAGTGACACAGTAAAATGGCCCTGTATCAGTAATTGATATGTACAAAAGAACAGATTACTGAACAGTATGTATGGTTTAATTCCATTTCTTTGGCCAAAGATAATAGAAAATTATCATCTATAAATACTTTAAAATCCTATTTTCTAAATTCTATATGATTGGTATATATTAATTTTAAAATTTAAAAAAACTTAAAAATAAATTTATATTTATATTTTGTTCAGAGAAAACAACAGTAAGTTATTTGTCTACAAGGAAAGGTCTTGAAATGAAAGAAAACAGAGGATACACACACACACACACACACACACACACACCTTCCAATTTTAATAATCTTCACACAAGGCAATTTTCTGAATGGCCATTGGTAGTTGACTGTATTAGCAATTTCAACTCTAAATATTACTACTATGTGATTTTCTTAGTAATTGCTGTGAACAGCTTATTTGGGCTTTTAATTTCTTCTTTTTGGAAATTAATGGGCTTTAGTGATAGACTTCTAATCAAATACATAAGTTAATATATACTGTATAGTAAGTATTCAGCAAATGTAGGTATTCTGCCCACTGGCTCTGTAATTTAATGTTTTTTAATGCTAAAACTTAAGAAAGAAAACACCCTAAAAAATCACAGATCATCTGAAGTACTAGTTTAAAAATCTTGAAACCCTTAATTACATTCATGGTAGAATGTTTCAAACATTAATTCATTTTATTTTTGTGAACAATCTTTTTATAAAACAATTATGGATATCCATAAGATAATTTTTTACAGTTTTTCATTTAGTTGGTTAATTCACTTTTAATGTAACTAAAAGCATTTATCTTCTAAAAGGGAATGTTGTTTCACACAGTTCAAATATATGTTTATCTTAACCTTAGGTTGCTGTTGGCAGAACAGATATTGAAGACTTAGACCTCTATGCTACATCTTGGGAGAGGCGATTTCGTTTATTTGCTTCTATAGAATGTGAAGGGCAGTTATTCATGACTCCATATGATTTTATTTTGGCTGTTACAACAGATGAGCCCAAATGTAAGTATATATTTTTATTTGTCTTAATAATTTTTCCAAACTTTATTCTTCTACTTTTAAAAGTATGTATTTCAAAAGGCAATATGATGTGTACTGTTACTAGCCTACTATTTCGTATAAATCCTTACTCATCTCTCTTCTCTTTTCAAAAATTTTCAGTTGCTCCTGCTTTGACATATTGTAAGCTTCAGCACTATCTTACTTTTGATATTCCTTCTAAGAGATTTATATTTTGCCTGTTCATTCTTATATACAGTCTAAACAGTAAATTAGAGGACCTGCTTTAAAATTAGCCCAAGTCAATATTTCTACTTATATCTCTTCTGTATTTGTCCTGTATCCTACAGTGTTAAATAGAGGATAATTGTTTCTGACTTTTCCAAGTGTTAGAACAGTGGTTCTCAAACTTTTGACATTAGTCCCACTCTAATAAATCTTTTGTCTGACTTAATAAAAGACAGTTGGGTTCTCATTTGTGCTTTTGGATTTTGTATTATATAATGTTTCTTATGAAGTATATGAATATATAGATAGTAGGAAAAGGGAAGGGTATTTTAATAGCCTTTATGATAATTGTGGATATTCTTTGTTGATACTGTATTATAACTTGGATGTTAATGCGGCCTCAAAAGCCTCCAAAAGTGATGGTGAAAGAGCAATGAGTACTAAGGGTTTCTGCTGGCTTACCTGAGTGGATGACAATAGGAATAAGTTTTGAAGAGAAAATCACTGTTTTAGTTTGAACACAATGCATTTGAGATATGTAAAATACCAAGAAACTGGATTTTTCTCCTAATTTATTTCATTTTACTGAAAGAAAAGTCACCTAAAATCAGTATTCTGTCTAATCAGTTGTTTGATTTCCTTGAAACTATCACATAAATACTTTAAACAAGATTAAAACAATTACAGCCATTTTTTTCCTCCAGGGGCAAGGATATAGCAAAACCAAACTTGGCAAATTTTTTGAGACTCTATGAATTGTGTTTGCACACAGTGAGCATTTTAATGAATGTTGGTGTCTGTAGTCATCAACATCACATTCACTTGAATTTATAAGCATGATTTTTAAGATGTTTTGATATAGTATTATAGTGACATTCAATAGGAAAAATTATATAGTATGTAATTATTATGATTGTTGGTTACTGTTTTTTTGAAAACTAGAAAATTTATCACTTTTAATAGCATCTAAAAGGTGAATTCCCTTGTAGAACTAAAATCAGTAATTGATTATTTTAATATAACATCAAGAATTAGTTTAGATTTTTTTAATGTATTTTTTAAATTTCAGAAATACAAACAAGTATTAAGAATATAATGAGCGTAAAACTACAGCTTAAAAAAATAAAATATTTCCAGTAGAATTAAAGTCCCCTTCCCCACTTTTTATATTTATATATGTAGTAACTTCATATAAAACAGGGAATTTATGAAGTCTGAAAGTCCTTTGAAGAACTATCCTAATGGCTCTTTAGTCTTTATTTTTAAAAAGCTATTAATGTGGAACATCTTACACTTCTGGCAGAATGAATATGTCTTTTGTGAATAATTTACCATGGATATCTCATAAACCCTACAAAGCTGAAGACTATGTCTAACTTCCTCTCTTGATAATTAGCTCCTGAGCATTGCATAAGAGTATATGTATATACTTTTCTGCCATTTGTTCTTTTTTCTTTTCTTACTGCTACATTTCAAGAGCAACAAAATCCTATTATTTACATTGTTAAAAGGAAAGTCATTGTGAAATGAATGTATACAGTCCACAGTTAAGTTCACATGTCAAATTTTATAAACCTGTGATTTTTATCACTTGATTAAAGGTTTATATAAATTATCTTGGGTGAAAGATGTTACAACCTAGAAGAGATATCTATCTGTATGAAAATCAATTTGCTAAATATTAAAAACTTATTTCCTTCCTTTGAATCAAAATGAGTTTTGTATTGCTTTTAAAAATGTGCATAAAAAGGTACCTTTCTTAAGATTTTGAATTCGATTAGTTATTAATTATTCAGAACTATTTCCATTGCCATGTAGAAATTAATACTGGTCAGCCCTGTTCTTGATGTTGTTTTTGGTACCAAGGATCGAACTCCGGTACTTGCACTTGCAAGGTAAGCGGCAGCACCACTGTGCTAAATCCCCAGCTCGTTGGCATTGTTGTAATGTAGTAAAATATTTTTTACAAGTTATCCTAATGCAGCTATATTACAGGTATGTTACCAGTTAATCACATACCAGTACCAGTACCTGGACATTGTTCTTAGGCAGGCATTGGATATTTACATGGTTTAAATCTGTACAAAAGAAACAGCAGTGTTGACGGCACATTTGTCCCAACATTATAGGATTCATGTCTGAGATCTTACAGGATGTAAAGAGGAATCAGAAAAAGAGAGTGAACCCAGATATTCAACTACAGCATTCTTATTCCAAGATGCTTCTTGAATAGCTGTAGGGAAGAAGAATGTGAAACAGGACGAGTTTCCCTCTCACTTTAACTCCTTTCCCTGTGATTTAGCTCCAAATATGATAATATGACTATGGAAAAATATTTACTATTCTACTGATTATTACCTATTATAAAGTTTATAGTTCATGAAACAAACTAGTAAAATAAATAGAATCATATCTTAGAGTCAAATCTTGAGGTTAAAAAAATTTACCATTTGGACATGAAAGTTTGGTTGTGACTTATGGTTGTTGATGGTTACTGAATATGGATATACATTACATGACATATTTATTATCTAATTATTTTATATTTATTTTAGTGGCTAAAACGTGGAAGTCACTTTCCAAACAGGTAAGTTAAAAATCTCTTGGCATACCTATGCATGCCCATATACATACGTGCATACACACAGATATATTTTACATATATACTTTTGTAAATTAAAATCAGATCATGTTATTTAAACTTGTGTGTTTGTATTTCATTTAACATTAGGATCTCAAAATATAACCATTTACCTGCACATGTTTCGAGTTTAGCCTTCTTTGTGGCAGAGTAGTACTCCATTGTGTATAAATACCATGTTTTCTTTATTCTCTCACATGAGAAACCAAAAATATAAATAATACCTAAAATGCACCAATAAGATTAATTTTAAAAATAAATAAAAGATAGATAATAGGAAGCAAGGAGATCTTTTTCAAATGGGAAAGAGCAAGAAATAGAGGGTTGCTAGAGGAAAGGAAGGGAAAAAGATTAAAAAATAAAAAGTGGTAATAGAACTTCTGTAAATAGGAAGGGCAACAAGAGTTGGAGGAAGCAGGGAGAGACGGGGGGAAGGGAACAAGAAAGGAATTACGATGTGTTATGCACATGTACAAATTCCCCACAGTAAATGTAATTATTACTTACTATAAAGATATACTTATAAAAAATCAGATGGTGGTATCCTTTTTTTTTTTTATCCTGCAGATTGTCAGAATATAAAAAGGTGGACAATTCTAATGGCTGGTGAAAATTAATTTTATATATATAT